TTTTTAATAAATGGATATATTCATTTCTAATTTTTTTATAACTGACCCAGTTGTTCGTGCTATTCTGTAATTTGAATAGTTTGAATGCTGTATCTCTTTCTTTTGCCTTTACTCTCATTTCGTAATCATAATAAGTTAAGCAATCCTCTCTGCTCATAAATGATTTCATTGGTGCAATTTTATCCTGTCTAGTAAATTTTTATATATAATATTCACATCGACACAGTTCAGCATGAAATCACATAATATTAGTTCCAGATTAATTTTATGCATATTAGTTACATTTAGATTTCTATACATCGTACATGACCATTCATGATCATTTGGTCATCTCTGGCAGAGCCCCGCATTACTAGAGGTAGGCTGATTACAATGAGATTTCGCCCGATTCCCCAAGGGGATTGTTCGTAAGCGCATATCTCCATGCGGCTATTCAGCTATTGGCACGATTCTTACACCTTTGGTTGGATAGGCTGGTCCACGGTGGCATGTTTTGCAAATGCTTTTGGAAAGTTTCAGTTCCCCTCACCCTACTCATTTCTGCCACTGACCAGGAGTTCGGGGACCCCGTCCGTAAGGCTACATTGGCATTCCGAACAGTTCCCTGGCCGTTCCCCATCCGCCACCTGGGGATGCGCTCGATCGGTAGCCCATCACATGGGAGTAACCAGGTTCAATTCAATGACACAACAACTCAGGCATTGGTTTTCACTAAGAAGATAACTGTCTTCGAACCGTCTCTACTAATGTCAATGTCAATAATGACAATTCCGCTTTCGGTTTCAATAAGTTTGTTGGGGACTAAAATGGACACAATATGTTTTGGCATAATCATGTCGCTGGAATTGTGAAAGCTCCTTTTCGAAAGCTTGGAACACTGCACCAGCAAGTTTTGAAGCTTTATTAAGCTCAAATCAGACATTTTTTGGAGCATTGTTCTCATGTATGGAGTTCTGCCCCCAAACATACCCTGAAATTGCTGGATTCCATCCAGAAAAGATCCATCTGCCTGATTGGAGACGCGAACATCAAGTGCAACTTTGATAGCCTAGAACATCGAAGAAAGGGTTGAGATTTGTCTTTCTTTCATAAATACTTTCACGGGAATTGTTCAAATGACTAGACACATTTGATTACACTGGTACATATAAGAAATATGCGGCGGACTGTGGCTGCTCATCATTTTGAAGTTCAACTCAGTATACCTCGATTATCACTATTCGAGAACTCTTTCATCAGGAGAACTGCGTTTATGTGAAATAAACTTCCTGAGAAAGTTTTTAGAAATGGATTTAATCTCCAGCGATTAAAATCTAATGAGAATCGCTACTTTTGCACAGGTACCGCTCTGAGAGCATCTCAGGGATTTTTCTCTAGTGCTTGTGTTTTGTCCTCAAAAAAACCATAGCCAATTTGGAGCACTGTATACCGTAACTGTATCATCAGCAAGACTGAATTTTCCCAATAGTATTAATGCTTTGCAGATTATTCAAGTAAGTATTGAATAAAAGTGGTCCTCATATATCACATTATAAAACATAATAGCAAAAATGTTTAGTATCCTCCAAATCTCAGAAATTTCTACAATAATTCTTCGTTAGCACTCAATTTTTTGTAAAATATTAGAAAACAGAAAATGAAGACTCATCTTCATTTTCATTTAGAATACACTGCATTCTATGCTGTCTCAACATACCTCTTATTCATACTACTATCATGGGTAATACAGAGCGGAATAAAATTACTGCTCTGGATTTCAGATAAAACGTCTAATCAATCATTCAATCGGATAGTAAAAGTTACAATAAATATATTTCACAATGGATGTGTGAAAAGTAACGAATTACAATACACTACAATGACACTCCAAAGTAAACCTATACGCCAATGATAGACAAATACATTTTTTATTTCATCCATCGGCATGAATACCGCAATGCAGATGAAGGCATAGCCCAATTGATTTCTACCTCTACGCAGCATTCTCTTCAAATCAATGGTAGTTCAGGTTCAGATTTGGTCTTTGGGGGCTGAGAAATCACCGAATGGCTTCCAATTAACTGTAGACAAGGATGTGGGTACACCGATTTAACATTAAAACAATTTAGGTATCATTCTTGATTATAATGTATTAGTATTGCTTATATGAACATCACACAAATGTATACTTACAGACACTGTCTCAACAAAAAAGTGAAAACCATGCTCTGTCAATCTCTTGTATTATCCAGATTCAATTTTGGAAGCTCAATCTATGGACCATGACTGGATATGAAGATAAAAGAATAACTCAGATTGTTCAAATCAATTATCTACGTTTAATACTAGCCATCAGACTTGGCCAACATATGTATCACAAAAACTCGAAGATACCAATAAGCTCAACATGGCAAAACGGCAAACATTATATACTACTTGTCTATATCATAATATCACTACCAAAAAAGCTTTCAAATATTCATGAAAGAAATTTTTATACCGTTCAAATATTCACAATATCAACATTCGTTACAAGGGAAGACTAACGCCCCCTACATACCAAGCAGAATCATTAAAAAATATTTTCTCTACCAGGTCGAGTTTTCAACTTAATCTACGATGAATTAAAAGTGATGTCTATGAAAAAATTCAAAACATTATTCTCAATTCAAGCAGTATTGTCAATGAGAATAGTAGTTCGTAACATCACTACCTCTTTTTTTCTTCACATTTATACATGTGTCTAATATACTGTGGACTCAATTATATATTCAATCTCCAATTTGTAATTAGTTTTGAACCTTTTTTTATTATGGCCTAAGATGAAAAACAGAGGTTCCATCTTTTGATACAACCAACTGATCTTCAGCTTTTTTCGTTTCAGCAAATCTTCACACATATTCATTGTATCATTATGGGAATAGAGACCTACTATTATTATAGAATTTATAATACATACGGTCACGAATGAGTTATAATATTGACAATACTTTAACGATTACTAAAACTGACCAAAACTACATAATTGCACCATCAATTATTTTGGAACAAAGAACAAACAAGAACTGCATACATAATTATACATATTAGTACCTTCCTCCAATTCTGTGAAATCACAAGTATAAAATAAAACAATAGTTATAAGTGAATACAACTCAATAATAATGTGGAATATTCTTTTCAGAGTGAAACATTCAAACACAAATATCATTTCCATGGTGATGTGATGTTCAAAAGATATTGAAATATTCAAATCTAAAATTTTATGAACATGTTCAGTTCGTTGTGATGCTAACGTTTCGTCACCAATTGATAACATAAAATAATGAAAATGTTTATTAAATCAATTATTTCCTAATAAATGGGAGTTCCAAAATGTTTGAGCTTATTTAAGTCCATAAGGGGTCTCAAATAATTCATATACCATACTTCTCTTGAAGTTCATCAGGTTATCACAATGAAACAGGAGTATCTACTGTGTGTGCCATTTGAAAAGACCATTCTTGTTGTTGCAAATACAAATTATATTCAAAAGTCTGATTTTGACCATTCGTGCTACTGGAGCATAAACAGTTTCTTTCTAATGAACATCAAGTAACAGTACAAGGACATCTCAACACTTTCTGGTCAACCATCCATTAGCAATCAATTATCTTCGTCTTCTTCGGAGGTGGCACAAACTCCCAAGGGTGTGACTCCTGAAAAAAATTCATCTCATCTCGAATAACTGTTTCCTAACCGTCATCACAGACTGCCTTCATCTAATTTGTGTCTTATTCTTAAAGAGATATTTTTGTGTTTAGTGAAAAACATTTCTGCCTTTTACTATTTTATTATTATGTCTAGCAAATCATTATTAGTTTTTTGATGTGAATCGAGCTTTGATATTCTATCTTAATTGGGTGCATAATTATGAACCACTGAAACAAAAACTCTCATTTTCTTCAAGGATCCTGATCACCATATTTCTACAGGTGTAATTATTCCATGTTCGTCCGATTGAAGCGTTCTGCTACATGGTTTCATTTGGGGTTCCTTGGAATGATATATTGACATTTTATTCCATTTTTTACACAGAAGATTTTGAATTTCGTAGAGTTGTTACGTTAGCTAAATCATTGCAAATAACATTTAGCATAACAACATATAAATTTCCACGAAGTGTCGTGCTTCTTCCATTATTAGTTTGTTTCTAACACAGTCGATGGTAATTTTCGACCCATCTTGGTAAAACATTAAGTCAATAGCAGTTGCAATAACTCGGATATCGACAAAAGCAGTTATGATAAAAACTCATTTCATTGATTTTTTCCAACAGGACTGTTCGTTGGAACTCTGTGAGGAAAACACTACTGTATATTTAAAACTCCTTGAGTTTTTTTAGAAGTTGGACTTGAAATAAGATTCGTTTCTTTTTATATGCTGGTCCTTTTCAAAATATGCATACATTCGGTTTCATCTCAGTGTGGAAGAGTTTCTAGAACCTCCGAAATGTCTGCTTATTTCAATACTAGTTTGACACGATATTCTCAGTTGATTGATCTGAGTCATCGAAGAGTTTCAAAATCATAACTTGGTTGTTGACTGCTGGGGCCATGTTTTCGCGAAACTTTCAACACAAATAGTAATTGCCTCTTCTACAGCCGATACTTACTATTTCACTAACTACTATTGATTGATTTCTGCAGTTCCCACCTGATCAGAATCAAACATTCTTGGCACCATAATTTATGGGTAATGCAGAGTAGAGTGAAAATACACTGTTCGTGGTTCCGTATAAAGAACTTTACTGACAATACTTAGACAATTACCAAAAATTTCGAAGTGAACGTGAACACACTTTCAACTACGTCGCTAATATTTCTGTATGACAATTCTGATTGCTGATTGAATTATTATTATTATCATCACATAGGGTATATTATATATTTCCTGCGAAACATAAGAACTCATTTCCTATTTGTCTCTTCAAAACATGAAAAACGATTATATTGTTTATTCATATTTCTGTTTTGTTGCAGGAAATTTGTTTAGTTTTATTTTTCGGAGCTGAATACTTGGTGCGACTGTGGTCTGCAGGGTGTAGGTCTAAGTATATGGGATTTTGGGGACGACTACGGTTCATCAGGAAACCCATATGTATTATAGGTAAGATTTCTCATCATCATCAACGAGTTGAACCATATAATTAACATTATTCAATATTTCGTGGAGTGTTCAGATTGAGTGTTCGTTGGGTCTATTTGAAAATGGAGCTCCATTATGAAATTTATAGTTTTCAAGCACTTTGAATTATTTTTTTGCTTGACAAAACATTAGAAACTATTCAACGGAGATGTGTTACCGTTTTTGAAAAATTCGTACTCAATTTCAACTATATTACGTTCACCATGTACAACAAATCAAAATATTCCACAAATAAAACAATATTTCGCAACAACAATTTGCCTAAACTTTGGGAAACTTTCAAAGAAAGAAGGGAACTTAATTAGGGAATTAACTACCAAAATTATATAGAATATGCACATAAGTTTCTTTCAGATTCAAACTGAAAATGAGAGCCCATTCGAAACAACTAGTAAAAAGCCAAAATGCTTTTTTTCTCGAAAATCAATTCCTCCTACTAATGCCATACTCAATTTAAAGGAAATTCATATAGAGGCGATTGATTCAACAAACTCTATGGATATTTTCAGAAACTGTCGCCTTTGAAGTTACCCAAAGAGGAGTTGGAGACTTCATCACCCGAAGACGATTTTGGATACCAACAATCAAAACGACGTGAAGTAACTTGGCTTGGAATTTCTTAACTTTTTATTTTTTGTTCAATTATTCAATTTTCACTTGTATTTTATTTCACTATTATTTCATTTCAGGTTTTATTGTTTAATATAATTGTAATTTTCAGCTATTCATTTTTAATTCTTCTTTTTTAGTTCTTTCAGGAATTTCAAATCATTTTATATAATATCAGACAATGGAAGTCCGAAGTGATGAAATTCAGATAGAATAATTGTTATTTACATGAACTGAAAGAACTAGTTTCTAATCGGTTGTTTTTCAGAAACGCTGTAAAATAAGCAATAAACAGTAAAAGCAATTTCGCTTCTACTGCGTTCAATCAAAATTACTATAATTATCATGACAATGCCCGACCTCTAGTATTTCTCGTGTCAAGGATAATAGATAGTATCGAATGTCCTTGTGGATAAAAACACGAAATGAATCGATTTCACGATAATGGCCAATGTCGAATATAAAATGAGTATACTTTTTCAGTGAAAGGAAGTTATATTTTGTTTGAGAAAATCTGATTCATATATTTTTGGAACTTCGGCTGAAGCATCGAATCTGATAGTACAAGATCCGAAAAGAGATTGTTCTCCGTTCATTGCGAGCAACACGACCCAGGAAAGACAAGGCCAAACCAATTCCAAATCAGTCTGTAGTTCGAAAAGTGTTTCTGCCCTTTGTAGAGAATGTAACAGACCGAATTAGGAAAATACTGTTGACACTCAACTATATATATCAGAATTCAAAGAAGAAAAAAAATCATCTGAGAGAGTCTAGGGTCATCTAAGGACCACAGAGAGTTATTAGCGACATTAAGGATTCCACGAATATATTCGAAAATTCTTGAAGGGTTTTTTACCCCCGAGAAGAAAAAGATACTCATGAATTTGTGTGATAAGAATCCTGACTCATCAAATGAACAGGAAAATTGCTTCTGCAGTTTGTATTTTGTCACATCTACCACCTCTTGAGGGATCGCAGAATTTTCTTGAATTAATGATGAATTTTGATCAGCCCTTCGATATATAGCCCATATCAAGAACACACAGTGTCCATCATATTTATACACCAATGATGTAGTTCTAATGCACTAAGGCTGTACTATGTCGAAATCCGTCATCTACCCAATATTCCAATTAGGGTAAAAAGTTCCTGAATTGGGAAATCTACTAATAAAGAAAACTTGTCAAGGATAATTATGATTAAAATTACTTCAGTTTATCAAAAAGTAAACTCATTAATACTGTTACCGAGTAGAACAGTTGTTGTTTGAAGGTGACTGACAATTTTTCATGATGAATTTCATTAGTTCGCACTTCCATTGTCTGATATTATATAAAATGATTCCTGAAAGAACTAAAAAAGAAAAATTAAAAATGAACAGCTAAATATAACAATTATACTAAGCAAAAAACCTGAAACGGAATAATAGTGAAATGAAATACAGATAAAAAATTGAACAATTGAACAAAAAATGAAAATGAAAAGTTAAGAGATTCCAAGCCAAGTCACTTCACGACGTTTCGATTGTTGGTATTCTTAATCGTCTTCGGGTAATAACTTATTATACCTACAAAACATCAGTTTCGACACAGACACTATACATAGGTAAATGGGAGGTATATTATTATATTTTTATTAGAATAGATGATTTGGAAAAATCAGTTGACCAAGGAAGTGATCAGTTTTCAACAAGATGTTGCACCTCTCATCAACCAAAAAAAGGCCAGCGCCTGGTGTAATTCACGATAACTTCTTGCAATCGGGCCAAACCATCATAGCAGAGTCATATTGTGAGGAATTCGACGAACTGCATCAAAAATTGTGTCAGCAGCAACCGGCACTGGTTAACAGAAGAGGTCCAATCCTGCTCCACGACAACGACCATCCGCACGTTCCTCGAATCACCGTCCGAAAATTAAACGTATTGAGCATCGAACTTCTGCGAGCTAAGGACTTAACGAGGTCTTACCTTTTAACGTGTGACTCCTAACACGGTTGCAGAATCATCCCAGCTTCAAACAGATACATTCTCTCGAGAAAAATATCTGGTTGAGGCGGGAATCGAAACCACGGACTTCTGATCGTGAGTCGGGCGCACTACCACCGCGGCCAATTCCAATTCCGCGAAGTACCTAATTTGTTTTTTTCATATGTACTTCTCTGACTATTTAGCAATATAGTCCTTTCATTTTTCAGAACCAATGATTTTAATACAAAGCTCAAACATGAGAAAACTTCTCAAAACTTCCATTAGTGAAATCAAGAAGCCAAATTGAAGAAATGCCTGCATGATACTCGACCTTTTCCATAATTTTCTTTCCATTTCGTTTCAGTTTCACTAAACTTCAGTTTTATTTGCGTAATACTATCCTAGATGTCTCCGGAGAACTTCAGAAAACTTCGCGGATCTGCAAAGTGGTTATACAAAATGCGTTTAACGATTCCTCATTGCTCGATTCCATTCAATATTATTTGGATCTCTAGAGACCATTATCCGTTACATGAGAATTGCTAACTGGCTTGTTGAATTTCAGTTGAGGCTGGTTTTAAAATAAATAAAATGACATGAACAAAACACGACAGGCTCAGGGTGCATTCGGTTTTGCGAAATTGAACAACACGAATATTACTGATGGTTTTCCTTTGAGTTATTTGGTATCCTCAAAATACATTGAATTATAAAAAATGAAACAGTATGAACAATTGAAGAATAGAAAAAAAATTTCTTTGGGTCTTACATTCAGGTTCAAGTTCGTTAGACTTGTGTCGTGACTGGTGATAAGTGAATATTAATTAAACCAAATCATGAAATTCAATAATAACACCAACAAAACGACGAACAAAAAAATAACAGTGTAACTTCGTGGCGAGGAGAATAGAAATTAGGATTAGTTCCCGGCCGAAATCCCTGAACAGACTGATTCTTGGTCGAAATCTCAGAACAGAATGAATGCATCTGCTATGAAAAAATCTGTTCCCAGTAACTCTTGAAAAATCACCACTGGTCGGGGTCATAAATTTAGCCAAGAAAGGTCAACCACTTGGGCCCTGTTTTTTCAGCAATAAACTTTCTTTTCGTGAGAAGAGGGGATTTCGATGATATGCGGAGAAAAATTACAAAAATTCTAAGTTGAAATTAAAATGAAATAAAATTAACATAAAAACCCAAGCAGATAGATATTTTGAACGCCTGCGCGATAAGAGAGTTGTGAAAAATTAATTTCCTAACAAGAATTTATAATAAAAAAATAAAAATCAATAACGGAATAAAGTGTTTCTAAAGTAAGTAGTTGTAGGAAAAACCGTATTCTTGAATTAACATCTTACATATTGCAAGCCGCACAGTTGAGTCACAATGAATATAAAATATTTTTTTCACCTAGAAAAATGAAATGATGAGGAGTTCTCTTTTTAACTGCCAATCAGTCGCTTCCCTTATGCGAATCTTTGAGAATCTTCTAGAGACTAAGGAAAGATGTGCGTTTTATTTTCTTACATGTGATCCCTGAATGATCATTTCGAATTTTGTTTGGTGGAAAAGATAAAAGTAAGGAATAGCAAAAAGGTAATAGCAACTTACTAACAGAAAATTGAAATTTCTGGGCAGAGATTCATCAAACGAAAAAACACCACAAGCTCAAAAAGTTGCTTGGAAAGCTTGGAAAAAAATTATACCTCTGATTTCAATTAAGTACTACCACTATATTAAGTTTAAATCAAGAGCAATATTACATTTTCAGACATCCCTGAGCTCAAAAATATGTTTGGAATATGTTTTCTGTTAAACAGCTGTCACACCCTTACGAACAACTATCCTCAGAAGTGTGCGAGCTGAAGACTAACGAGGTCTTACCTTTCAACCTGTGATTCCTAACACATTTGTTGAAAAGAAAAGCTTTAGATATTTATTTGGTTTTTCACAAGGACACTCACTCAACCGATCGTTCGGTTGAGTGAGTGAACAAAGCACCCACAACGAACCGACCGGCTACCGATCTGCTAATATAGCATACGAACTACTATTAAAACAGTGGCAGGATCGATATAATAAATATTGAGAGTTCTCTTAAAGCATTATAAACAATATTTTGAGAGGAACTTTCTCGTCGAACCCATTCATTCATGAGCCGTAAGTTTGGAAGAGCATGCCATCCAATAACTTCCTTATTGTTTTCTTTCTTTCAGAAATATCAAATTGGAATGACAATTTTCGCATAATAACCCTTTTCCTGGCATAGAAAGCTCAAGTATGTCAATAAAACTGAAATGAAAAAACAAGCAGATGGTCGCAACATAATGACATAGGGACCTGCCGTGTTCCATTTTGCGGAAGATGTGTGACAAAATGGACAAAAATTCATTTATGACTGACGATACTGCTTACGACTGGGCGTTTATTATATTTTTCAGTTGGCATTTGGAGAAGGGAAGGAAAACGGTTTTTTATTTATACCAAATGGAAATTTACTGAAAACACTTACAAATGTTTTGATATATCTTATATGAACATTTCTCTCCAGCACCAGGTTACCTCTTCCTCTTCGAATCATCTCTATATTAATTTTTAATAATTATTCTTAACCATAGTTCGCGTAGTTTCTAATCCAAAACGATCTAACGGAAACAACTAGGTGTTTCTCATCTTTGCTATGCACTGATTCAAACCATGTGTCTGCACTTTTGAATCCATTGAGAAAGTTAATGTTGAACGGGTGACACACATGGAGAGAAAGAACGGTATTGAAAGTTATAGCTTTGACCACACGTCACAACAAACAATGAATAATAATTAGTCAAACAATTCAACAGTAATATCAAGAGAGTATTTTTTCAAATTATCTCGGGCGTTTTGAGACAAATATACTTATATTTGAGCTCAGTTGAAAAATATTTCTTGAGTGTTGAAGACGATATTTTCGTAGTTTTGTGCTCTTGAACAGTTTTCATAATGAGTGATAAATGTTTCATACAGAGTGACCCATTTGAAAGCGGGCCACCTCTCTAAAACTGTTATTTATTATCCGATTCAGAAGTTTTTTTTTTCAATAGATAGAGCGTCAATAGTTCTATTAGAGTGCTGTGAAGTCGAAATATAAATAAAATTTTCAAGGCCTACTTCGAATTTTTTTCAAGGTCAAAAATCCAAAAAACATACTAGCGATTTTTTTATATGAAATTTGACGACGCCACTGGATTTGTGATGCTTTCAAATGGTTGTGACTGAAATTTCAAGAT